TAAGTGAATATGCGAGGAGCATGAAGCTAAGCGATACGTAGTACATAGCGAGCGAGCGATTAGAAAGAGACAGAGCGTATGATCGAGAGAAAAAAGATACTGCAATAATGTTAGTGCGTACATGTATATTACTCTCACATACATGAAAGAAACGAAGATAATACGACTATGTCTGTCTTTGTCCTGTACGATTGCAGCTCTGTCTATCGCGACATCGCGGAACTAATCTACTGCTCTGTTTTACTCTTTTGCCTCAATCTCGCACGCACACATATGCATGAAAGCATTTCGAGTGAAAATCTTTTTTACTAGACTAATAAACTTATTTCTAAGAGTTCACTAATATTCCTTCATGTTATCCCGAGGCGGGGAGCTATATCTTGTGCACGAACAAACTGCAGAACTTTTATATTAAATAAATATTGTTACGACTTGACGCAAGAAGTCGATAACAAAACTGTAATTGTTTAACTTTTCTTTGATTTGTTATATGAAATATAGCTCCCCGCCTTCGTTATTATCAATACTTTAACTGTGGAAAAGGATTTATCAATCTGTGTAGCCAAAAAAAAGATTTTCACTTGAAACGACTTTCGCGTTTTGTCGGTAATTTTGGATCCCCTTAATAGAAGTTTAAAGTTTTTAACCCCAGAAAGATCGATATCGAGGCAAGAATCGAGTCGTCGTGCACTTTTTCTATATAGAGCATCTGTTTCGGTAAGTGCAGCATTGCATTCTGTACATATTAGAGAGTATATCATATTAGTATTGATCAGCATTTTTTCGGCCGGAATATACAATCGCCGTATTTGTTACTTTCCTTGTGTTGGGGCAAAACCGGGTACTTACACATCTCATACAATGAAAAGAGGAAGAACTGTTATCTTGACTTTGTGACTTTGTGAAGAACAGTTGGAAACGAAAACTAACACTCAGAAAAAGAAACCACTAAAAAAAAAGTTTTTTGAGACCCTTAAAGTTAAAAAGTTAAATAAGAAAATCCTGCAGTAATATCGAACAAGAGGATATTTATATTTGTGATTTTTGTCAATAGAATACATCTTTATATTGTATTTTGATTAAAATAAATCTTGATTTTGTAATTACACGGTGGTTTGCATATTTTCAAATGGGTACCCGGTTTTACCCTACCAATAGGACAAAACCGGGTACTTTGACTTCTCCACACAATCTTGTTATTCTTGGTAACGAAACATTTTTTTTTTTAGCAACTAGCCTTATTTTCTTATAGTTTAAGGTTCACTAAAGACTACTAACGGTTAGCAAACATTTTTTTGCTCTCAGATTTTTTGTAGGAAAACAAATCCAAAAAAGTACCCGGTTTTACCCTACTTTCCCTTATATTATATGTATATGTATTTATAGTACCCCATATAGTATCCCATATAGTACCCCCAACACAAGAAAAGTAACAAATATGGCGGTTGTATATTCCGGCGTACAAAGTGCCGCGTTATCCCTCCACTGCCGAGCCGGTGAGCCAAGCCAAGACTTCGTTCTGGCATCGTTGCTTACTGCTTACCGCCTTATGTAGTATAGCGTAGGCTATCTCTGAAGCAAATTTTTTTCTTGCTGCCACGCTGCCATTCGATTAAACAAGGTTTTACAAGCGGGCGGCATTGAGCCGGGTAAGGGCGGTCATCGCAGCGGTCAATTTTCGGTCAGTTTTTGGACACTTCAAAAATTATTGGCGCCTATTAAAATTTTGCGCCCTACACTGGAGCGTACCAGTGTACCCCATCCGCACGCCCCCGGCTACAGATCTAGACAAGAAAATAAATGATAGTTATTTCATCAATTTTCACAACACTGTAACAATGAATAATTGATAATATGATATTTTACCTGTATGAATCCGGAGTAGCCAGCAGCCACAAAACCGACAATAGTTGGTTTCTTACCGGTATCATGAGTCGGCCTGTATTATTTGTAATAAATAATGCCGGACCCAAACGCGTCTCTAGACTCTCAAAAGTGCTCGGAGTCATTCGAAAATGCTCGGGAAATGCTTTATTGGTCATCCTTGGAATTATATCCAATATATAACCTTCAACCCGTGCTGGTGTCCTTCTACCACCTCGCACTCTCAATCGCATTTTACACAATGCAAAATCCAATTCTTCGTCACTTTCACTGCTACTGCTATCTGACATAACATTTTGCAATAATTGGTCGGAAGCGACTACAGCCAGTGCTAATATGCGTTTTCGACGAACAATCACATCTGAATCAGCCATTTTTGTTTGTAAATATTACGTGATATTACGGCAGTACATGGCAGTACACACCGACCGTTCGATAACTCTCGTCGATAGTAACCCACTAGCTCCACCGAGACCGTATCCCACATCCACCACACGACATGATCATGTAGTGTTTTCGAACGCACCGTCCGGCCCGACCACGGCACGCAACACGAGACACGAAGATACCGAGCGTTACACAAAAGTAATAAAGACACTTTATAGTCCGAGGGATTCATTTGTTGTTCCAAGAACCTGAAACTGACAAAGCTCGCAAATACATAATAAATTGGCGACGAGGATGGGATCTCTTCTGGAGAAAGTAAGAGATTGAGCAACGTAACCTATATTTCCGCACGTGCTCGGCCGAGGAAGCCTCGACGTACACAAGTCGAGTTCACCGGTATCGATTGATTCAAGTGAGTACATTTAGTGTACAAACTCCATATTCTCTGGGTATTATGATGGCTCGGCAAGCTGCCGATTCAAAACCGACGATCCTAGGACCGTTCGCGGTTGAGGCATTCGATCCGAATGTGTCCACGTGGAAACGTTGGCTGCAGCGCCTACAAGGCGCTTTCCTGGTGTTCGGGATCGAAGGAAATGCACGTGTGCCATACCTACTTCACTATGTGGGTCCGACGACCTTCGATATTCTATGTGACCGACTTGACCCAGAGGATCCGTTTGGGCAGACCTACGAGATACTAGTCCAAAAGTTGGAGGAATTTTACGCGCCAGCGCCATTAGAAATCGCTGAAAATTATAAATTTTATCAGCGGAAGCAAGCAGACGGAGAGTCGGTGCAGCAATTTGTAGCAGCCTTGCACAAGTTGAGCATTTATTGCAAATTTGGGGATTACCTCAAGACAGCCCTCAGAAACCAGCTAGTTTTCGGCATGCTAAATAAGAAGGCACCAGTACGTCTTTTGGAAAGAAAAGATCTTACTTTTGAGAAAGCAGTAAACGTTGCCGTTACAATGGAACTATCCGAGAAAAGTTCGGAACAGATGAAATCTGTGGGAGCATCAAGTACAACGCAGGCAGGTATTGAATACCTGAAAGCGGGTATGAAGCCTACATCAAAAATACTACGGAGAACCGTACAAAGCAGCGAGCGAGTGAGCCCAGCGGGCAGTCATCAACCGCGTGCTCGGCCGAGGAAGCCTCGACGTACACAAGTCGAGTTCACCGGTATCGATTGATTCAAGTGAGTACATTTAGTGTACAAACTCCATATTCTCTGGGTATTATGATGGCTCGGCAAGCTGCCGATTCAAAACCGACGATCCTAGGACCGTTCGCGGTTGAGGCATTCGATCCGAATGTGTCCACGTGGAAACGTTGGCTGCAGCGCCTACAAGGCGCTTTCCTGGTGTTCGGGATCGAAGGAAATGCACGTGTGCCATACCTACTTCACTATGTGGGTCCGACGACCTTCGATATTCTATGTGACCGACTTGACCCAGAGGATCCGTTTGGGCAGACCTACGAGATACTAGTCCAAAAGTTGGAGGAATTTTACGCGCCAGCGCCATTAGAAATCGCTGAAAATTATAAATTTTATCAGCGGAAGCAAGCAGACGGAGAGTCGGTGCAGCAATTTGTAGCAGCCTTGCACAAGTTGAGCATTTATTGCAAATTTGGGGATTACCTCAAGACAGCCCTCAGAAACCAGCTAGTTTTCGGCATGCTAAATAAGAAGGCACCAGTACGTCTTTTGGAAAGAAAAGATCTTACTTTTGAGAAAGCAGTAAACGTTGCCGTTACAATGGAACTATCCGAGAAAAGTTCGGAACAGATGAAATCTGTGGGAGCATCAAGTACAACGCAGGCAGGTATTGAATACCTGAAAGCGGGTATGAAGCCTACATCAAAAATACTACGGAGAACCGTACAAAGCAGCGAGCGAGTGAGCCCAGCGGGCAGTCATCAACCGCGCGTCGAAAGCGCGATTTAAACTCTAATATAAAATGTTTCAGGTGCGGTAAGCCACATTTAGCGTCAAAGTATACTTTGCGTCAAGACGTGCGTTGTCACGGTTGCGGGAAGCAGGGGCATCTGCGCATAGTCTGCTTTGATAACAGCTCCACAACAAATCAGTTGGAAGAAATCTTACAACTGGAACATGCAGATCACCGAGAAAAAATTCTGATTACGCTTGATGTAAATAACAAACACGTACAGTTTGAAGTAGACAGCGGAGCGGCGGTAACAGTAATGAGCAAATACGAAACAGCTCGTCTTTTCAGGTACACCCATACATCCAACAAATTTACAATTGATATGCTATTGCAATTGTGCACTGCGTAGTTTAGGATTTGTAAAAGTAGGTGTTAAGTTTAAATCACTAGTAAAAAAGTTAAATATATACTTAGTAGGCGGAAATAGAATGGATGGTAGAGAATGGATACGACAATTGTCAAATGGATATGACCTCTTGCTTGACAATGCGTCTGTAAATACAGTATTGTCAAGCCCAAATAGTAAACTTAAAAGTCTATTCGATACGTTCAAAAAAGAGTGTATTTCTAAATTATCAGAAATATCGGGTATTAAAGCTAGATTGACTTTGAAGCCAAACGTTACACCTGTTTTTGTAAGAGCACGACCAGTGCTGTTCAAATTAGCAGCGTTAGTAGAGCAGGAGCTAGATAATTTAGAGTCGGCCGGTATCATTGAAAAAGTTACTACTTCTAGATGGGCAACTCCTATAGTTCCCATATTGAAACGCGACGGTAGTATTCGCATTTGCGGTGACTACAAGGTCACAGTTAACCCTCATTTAATTGTGGATGATCGTCCATTTCCTACTGTAGACGAGTTATTTGCAAAACTTGCACGCGGAACAAAGTTCTCAAAAATTGATCTTGAACAAGCGTACCTACAATTAGAGATTGCTCCGGAAGATCGCGAAATATTAACTTTAAGTACGTGTAAAGGCCTTTATAAAGTAAATAGACTTATGTATGGAATAGCTCCCGGACCTGCCATTTGGCAGCGGGAAATCGAGAATATTCTTCAGGGAATCGAAGGAGTAGCTATTTTCATTGATGATATCATTATTACGGGAGAGTCCGACGAAATACACGTAGTTCGACTTGAAAAAGTACTACATAGATTGCATAGTCATAATATACAGTTAAACTGGGAAAAATCTACATTCTTTCTGGATAAAGTTAGTTACTGTGGGTATACATTAGATAAAGTAGGTGTGCATAAGGAAAAAGACAAAATGGAAGCTATTAAAAACATGTCTCGCCCTAAAAACGTGTCAGAGGTCCGCACTTTTACGGGAATGATAAATTATTATGGTAGATTCATACCACACTTGAGCACTATTTTGCATCCGTTAAACAGATTGTTGAGTAAAAATAGTCTATTCCAATAGACACAAGAATGTGAACACGCATTTAAAAAAAGCGAATGAAGCTTTTATGAGCGATAGAGTGTTAATACATTTTAATTCAAAATTGCCTTTGATTTTAGCTACAGACGCCAGCTCATACGGAGTTGGTGCCGTATTGTCTCATAAATATCCGGATGGATCAGAGAGAGTTATACAATATGCATCTCAAGCATTTTCAACTACTCAGGTTAAGTACTCTCAAATCGATAAAGAGGCTTATGCAATTATCTCTCTTTGGGGTAAAAAAGTATTTTCAATTTCTCTACGGAAACAGATTTACGTTGGTAACGGATCATCGTCCCTTAGTGCAAATTTTCTCACCAGAAAAGAGTTTACCAATTTATTCGGCAATGCGCATGCAGCATTATGCTATTTTCCTTCAAGGGTTCAACTACGATATTTAGTATAGACGTACAAGGCGCTTTCCTGGTGTTCGGGATCGAAGGAAATGCACGTGTGCCATACCTACTTCACTATGTGGGTCCGACGACCTTCGATATTCTATGTGACCGACTTGACCCAGAGGATCCGTTTGGGCAGACCTACGAGATACTAGTCCAAAAGTTGGAGGAATTTTACGCGCCAGCGCCATTAGAAATCGCTGAAAATTATAAATTTTATCAGCGGAAGCAAGCAGACGGAGAGTCGGTGCAGCAATTTGTAGCAGCCTTGCACAAGTTGAGCATTTATTGCAAATTTGGGGATTACCTCAAGACAGCCCTCAGAAACCAGCTAGTTTTCGGCATGCTAAATAAGAAGGCACCAGTACGTCTTTTGGAAAGAAAAGATCTTACTTTTGAGAAAGCAGTAAACGTTGCCGTTACAATGGAACTATCCGAGAAAAGTTCGGAACAGATGAAATCTGTGGGAGCATCAAGTACAACGCAGGCAGGTATTGAATACCTGAAAGCGGGTATGAAGCCTACATCAAAAATACTACGGAGAACCGTACAAAGCAGCGAGCGAGTGAGCCCAGCGGGCAGTCATCAACCGCGCGTCGAAAGCGCGATTTAAACTCTAATATAAAATGTTTCAGGTGCGGTAAGCCACATTTAGCGTCAAAGTATACTTTGCGTCAAGACGTGCGTTGTCACGGTTGCGGGAAGCAGGGGCATGGAAGATCATGCGAATGCGAATTGTTTGTCCAGACTACCAGTTAGTCAGCATAAATCTACAACCGACGTAGTAGATGCGTTTCAAATAGAATTAATAAATACACTTCCAGTGACGGTAAATAAAATCGCTTTAGAGACTGAAAAAGATAAAGAGTTATCGGAACTATTGAGAGCATTGAGAGCAGGAGGCCAGATCCATAGATCCAAGCGTTTTTTTTTACACTAATTGATTTGTCTCATTATTCTGTACATAAAAGTATTACGGTAAGATTATCGAATACTAAATATTTTACGAGATATTTTATTTTTTATATCAAAATATGTCGGACTTGGTTAGAGGGCGTGTGAGCGAGTGAATGCGTGTTGGGTATGTGAGATAGTTTTAGTTGAATTTAAGTGTAAAGCGAGTAAGTAGGAGCGTATAAGTTAAATAGGATAAGAGAGCGGAAGGAATGGAAGGGTAACAAATGAAGGGAGGTGAAGCAGTACAATAGAAAGGAAGATCTTTGGAGGTAAAGAGTAACGACGAAGTTTTGGGGTTAGGATGGCGAAGAGAACGGGCAACATGGAGAGTGCCGGTAAGGAAGGAATGAATAGGAACGGGAAATCATTACCAGAGGTAAATTAGAGAGGCCAGATGCAACAAGAAATATAAGGAATTGGAAACAGGAAATGAAGGACCAAGTTATCTGAGGAAAAGTAGTGTAGACGAAGGCAATATAGGAGATATGATAAGGGCATTGTTAAGGTGAAGGTGCGGAAATATGGAAGAGGAGAATAAATATTGGTTGGAGGAAGAGGAGACATTGTGTTTATTTTGCGGCAATGGGAAAGATTGTGTGAATCACTATGTAAAAGAATGCGAACTAATAAAAGATTGGTTTAAAGACTTAGGAAAAATTGTAAGGAAATAGAAGATAGTATTTGGAGTGATGCGTTAAATAATAAGAAAGGTAGGATACTGCGGAAATTGTGGTTGAAAAAGGAATTAATAATAAAAAAATAGGAAAAGAAAGTAGAGATGTGAAAAGAAAAGGAAATAAGATAAAATAATATGAATATGAAATGGAATAAATAAGCTAGTCCTAGCTAGTCTTAGAATTGTAAAAGATATGAATGTGTGTGGTGAGGTATGTGTGCATAAGGATAATTTGTAAACCAAGTCCACTTCTTGGCTATATGGCTGAAGTTAAATAAATAATTATACATAAGCTTTACCAGATAGGCCCGGAATAAAAAGGATTAAGATTAAAGTGACATATAAAAACTTGGCGTGCCCGAGTCGCATTATATGTCATATATTTTTATTAATGAATTGATAATGATTTCTGATAATTAACATATTGATAATGATTTCTGATAATCTTTTGCAAATTTTTATTTCAGATCGGGCATGCCAAGTATTTGTATATCACTTTAATTTTAATCCTGTTCATTTCGGGCCTATCTGGTAAAGCTTATGATTAATTTCAAAACGTGTCGATCAGTTTGGCATGGAGCACTTTTAAATTCGAAATTGGTGATTAATGTAATCGACGTTATTACAGTAAAAATTAATTTTATGATTTACTATTTGTAATAATATCCGCAATATAATAGTGCTATTTTATATATTATACAAAATATTTATTTGGGAGGGGAACATAATAATGTAATTTTTTAATAAAAATAAAATGCATTTTAATTTTTTCGAGAGAACCTATAATATTTCTATAAATGCAAGACTGATTTTATCAAACAAATAGTATTTCAAATTACAAACTCTCACAAACTGAACTGCTTCTATGTACTTGGCTATTTAAATTGATTTCATATTTAGTTTTGATTTTTTATTTTTTAAAGGTTTTTCTTTTTTAGAGTTATTTTTTAGAGAAAAATCATTTTTTAGTTTATTTTTTATGATAATTATTTTTCAAGGAAAAATTTTTTGGTAAACATAGCGAATAGGGGACCCAGCCCCAATGACCTTGACCTTGACATATGTTGTCAAGGACATAATTCTGAGTAACTTTTTCTTCTAATTTAATCGTCGCTCGTTGCTTATTAAAAAGTTGCTCATGTACGATAATTCTTTCGTGTATTACCCTTTTATAAAATTATAATTTTAAAAATTTATAATAGATAAGAGAGAGAGAGGGGGGGGAGAGAGCGGGAGAGAGAGAGAGAGAGAGAGAGAGAGCGAGAGAAAGAGAGAGCGGGAGAGAGAGAGAGAGATTAATTCAAGCCAAACATAATTACCCATGTAAACGATCGAGGAACCGTAACCACCATAAATACGCCTACCAGTTGTAAACACATCCCATCATTGCCAGTCTCCTTCCTTCGCGGTTTATCTTCCTTTTGTATTTGAAGGATGATTTTATCTAACTCGAATAAACGCATCATTTAATTATATCCATCATAAACGTATATATGCAATGCAATGTTTGACTAAAATTACATTTTATTATTCTAAATTTCGTGAAATAAAAGATTTGAAGAAATTTTTCAGCAAAAGACCTCAGAGTCTCTAAAGTTCCGGGATATACGGATATTTTTATAACAAAACGATTACAAGTACGCGAATGAATACAAGAATTCACACAATACGAATAATAAAACACAAAAAAAAGGCAAAATATAAGAATTATACAAAAATTAAAAATTTAAACTAAAAAAGAAAGGAAAAATCGCGATAACCCAACTCTATGCATGCATAAATATAAATATCTTTTGAATAAAAGAAGTTAATAAGAATTTAATAAAGGCACGTTTCCTTATATTTCTCGAAAGAAAAATCTCTTTAAAAAATTGACGACGGTAAATTCGATGGCAGCGAAATCGCGGTACGAATCAAGCACGGCATGATAAACGAAACGAGAACAGTCTCGTCTCGTTATTTT